TTCTTCTTCTTCTTCTTCTTCTTCTTCTTCTTCTTCTTCTTCTTCTTCTTCTTTTCTTCTTTTTCTTCTTCTTCTTCTTTTCGATGACAGTCAGACAGTCAATCCGGTGGTGGGTACAAACTGTGCAAATTCTCTTTAGATCCTCGAAGCTGCCACATCGCTTTCTCTCCAGTGCTGTAAAACGCTAACAAATCCCATCCTAAATACTCCACCAAACAAACAAAATAACAGGAACAATACTGAAAGCAGGACACAATAATTATGTTGTTAGAAAAGAAATATCTGGACTCTGACCATAGCGCGCGGCAATTTCGGGCTTTGCCAGGGAGTCCAGGTCTGCTGCGTCTATGAGCAACTTCCGGCTGTCGTCGTAATGGTTCACATCTAGGCGGAGTTTGCTGTTCGTTGCTTCTAGAGTGCGAACCTGGAACACGAGAAACACAAACGAAAAAGGCCACTCACTCAAAGAAACGTAACAATGCCAGATTCAGTTATGATTCAACTTCACATTTTGGCATGAACGGGATCATGATAATTCAAAACAATTCGAGGTACCAGCCCATTTGACGGTCTACCAAGACGTTTCTGTGTCATTTGACGGTCTTCCATCGGACAGACTGACAATTGTACCATTTGACGGTCTACTTGTTCAATACGATCAAAATCCCAAACATTGAACTTTACTCTGACCCTAATCCTAATCGGAACCCTGACCCTAACCAACTTGAACAGCACAGGTAGCCGTGGTCAGTAAGGTAGATGGTCAAATGTACAGACACCTAGTTGGATTTATACAAATTCATTCTACTTCTCATCTGGTGTAACTATAACTGTGTTTAGAATCTTCTTCCATGCAGAGAACCCCATGGGAGAGAAGTCATTTTGACAAACCCCTGAAAGTAGTTTTCTCTTGCACTGTGTCTCCAGTCTCAGAGACCCTTTTCTTCAATTGTTCAAAGACGATCTAGTTTCACTTTCATTCTGGTCCTTCTCTGCCACGTTTTCCTTGAACTTTTCCATTAGATATTATGTCCTTTTTCATAATAACGTGTCCTCCTTATAACACACAATTTTATTTAGTGATAACGTGTTTTATCAAATAAACTAATTGTCACAGGTGAAATTTGTTTTTCCCATCGGCACTGTCTTTGCTGTTAAGTTAATGTTTCTTTTTTATTATTACGAGAAGGTGCACGTTTTTTTTTGTTTTGGGAATGTGCCTGTTTTGTTGCCAAAAGGGATGGTCGGCGCACCGGCTTCACTTACACCCCCACGTGTTTAAAACTAAAAAGTGACTACGAAATGGAAAACTTAAAGAACGTTTCACTCGTAAAAAAGTCAAACCATAAAAAATGAAAACTGAACATTTTATAGGAAGTGCCGGTAACGGGATGTAACTCAGAATAATCATATTTAATGTTCGAAGTGACGCTGAGAGCAATTCGCAATTAGGATTTCTATAGTATTTATTTGTTTTAGACGTATTCCTTGTCACCAAAGGAGAGTTTATGGAACACACAGACACGAACATACAAACACAGGAAAACGCATACCTACCTGTCAGTCTGCCTGCCTACATATCTATCTATCTACCTGCATATTATAACCAACAGACAGACAGACACAAAGACATAAAGACAGACACACTCACATACTTACACGCACACGCACACACCCACCCACACACAAGCACGCACACAAGCACACCCACATACACACACATACACATGGTACACACACACACAAACACACACACACACATGGTACATACACACACACACACACGCACGCACACACACACAAACACACACACACACACACCTGTCCACGCAGAGTGAGTATATCCTGACCCATCCTCTGGACAGCGGTCCTGTAGCTCTCCAGGTCTCTCATCTGATGGTCAAGTACTGACATTTGGGTCGCCTCAAGGTCGTTTATATCCCTCGTGGAGCTACACAGAGCAGAAAGACAACAAGACGAGAGGGTGAAGGTACAAAAGGGTTGTTGGGTTACTTACGCTCTCGTGAAACGACAACTGCACAAAAGCTTTTAAAGGAATGGACTGTTATCAACATTTTCTCAATTTCCTTACAAACCATGATTTAATTTGATCTACTCATCTATCTATAGATCAATAGATCTGTCTGTCTTTCTGTCTGTCTGTCTGTCTGTCTGTCTGTCTGTCTGTCTGTCTGTCGTAAGTGAGCTTTTGTTAGTAGATTAAAGACCCAGAAATTTGCTTTCTGTAGGGTTTGGCGATCAGTGGAATGAGCAGGTTTACCTCATCGGAGTTTGTAGTGCGAATGGTTTTGGCTCTTTACCTGTACAAAAATGTGTGTTTTGTATGGGGAATGTATCTAATGTATTGTTTTCTGTCTGTCTGTTGGGACGTATCTCCCACGGCCGAAGGTGGTGCTGACAGGCAGGCCCGAAACTAAAATATGACTTGCAGTGCGTCCAAAGGGGCCATAATAATATGTCCGATCAGAAGCAGGCCAAAGGCAAAGTTATAGAGCACTTGAACCATCACCATCACGGTCGTCATCCTCCTCCTCCTCCTCCTCCTCCTCCTCCTCTCCCTCCTCCTCCTCACCCTCCCCCTCTTCCTCCTCCTCATCGTCGTCATGGTTCTCAATTCATTCTTTTGCTTGGATGCTCTCAAAAACGATACTTTAGTTTGATCTTTCCCCGTCACCCATCAGTTGAGGCTCTCCAAGTAAGTTGTTCTGAATCTACCCCTGCCTCGCATACAACATCAATTTTGACAGACAGTACTGGGACCACCATACACACATCAAAAACGCGAATTGAAAAATCTGCATGAATAATGAAGTATGCCCCCCCCCCTCCGAAAAAGCGTGTTTTCAAGCATTGTCGAATGATGAGAATGCGCGTTCTGAAAGACGCTTAGACGCTACCTAAGAATTACAAAGTTCTATCTGACATTTACGGCTGTTTTGAGTGACAAAGACCATGAAGTCAGAAACCAAACGTTCCATCTGCTCTCTCAATATCGTGAGATTATTCGGAGCCGTTATCAAGATATTCAAATAATTGAATTCGAAAAAGCTTGGCATGTTTTGAAACTTAATATTTTTTACTTCGAAGTTCTCAAAACTGGGTACTGTAAGATAGAAATTTGTGATTCCAGGGTAGCATTAAGGTCCACTTACGGTTCGGTCATCGGTGCTATACGTCGTGATGGTGGTGCAGGCTTGAACTTCCCTGTCGTTCTCGCTGTGCTCTGTCCTTGGTCTTGGTTCGGATCAACAAAGATATACTGATACTCCGGTAGGACGGATTCCACAGCGTCATAAGGAGGCAGCTGACCATCTTTGATCGGCTGTGGAAGACAAGTTACGACGTGTTTGAAAAGTAGTTGCTTGCTAAAAGAAATATATATATATATCGGGTTATGTTAAAATATTCTGTATCAATGCCAGATTAACGAGAGCATCATTAACTTACCTGGCCTCATGTGAATTGCTCTGTTGCAGTCCCGGGGTGGAAAAGGGAGGGGGGGGGGTATTTAAAAAACATTTTGAAAGTAAGCTTTGTTACTAGATCTAGAGTTTTCGAGCGACTGTCAGCAGGCTTTGCTCTGTTTTATTAGTGGGGAACGTTAAGCTCGGAGGTCGAGTTCTTAAATTGCCTAACGGTATAGAGAGGGGGGTTAACTCATATAATTTGCAATGCCCTTCAGACTTAGGCACATTGTCTTCAATTCAGAGGGGAGAGTACTCAACCCTAGTTTTTCCAGTTTACCCCAGTGTTTTTGAATGAGTGTGTGTGCGCGTCCGCGCGAGTGTGTGAATTTGTGTGTGTGTATGTGTGTGTGTGTGTGTGTGTGTGTGTGTGTGTGTGTGTGTGTGTCTGTGCGTTTGTTTGTTGTATGTTTGTGTAACTTTTTAAAGACAATCCGAACAAAGGAAGTAATGTAGAACCATGATCGCCGATGTCTGTCGTCGCAGATCTGGCACTGGATGATGATGTTTGTGTATGCATGAGTGCTCGTGTGTGTGTGAACGAGCGATTTCTGTCTGCCTTTGTTTGTGTCTGAGTGCCTGTATGTGTGTTCTTGTATGTGTGTATGTGTGTATGTGTGTATGTGTGTGTGTGTGTGTGTGTGTGTGTGTGTGTGTGTGTGTGTGTGTGTGT